TTTTTTTTTTTTTTAAGGGGTTACGCATGATGAATAATGAGTCTGACGATAACAAGCGGAAGAGGCGTGGTCGTGGAGTGGGTGGTGTTGGCGGTGGTGCTGTGTTAATAGGCGATTCTAGTGAAAAGCAAACAGAGACAAATTTACCGTCTCTTCAAGTCCCAATCAGCGGAACTCATGGAACGATCACTCCGGGGCATATAGTTGCAGGGAATATATCATCTTGTCCACGATTTGATCGCTTGCGGTTGGCGGCGAAAGAAGACCGTCATGAAATACATTTGAAACGTATTCAGGAGGAAAAGAGAGCGGAAGAATCACGTCAACGTCGTGCTGCCGCCTCAGATACAATTACCATGAATGATTTTTACGCTACACTCTTTGTACCCGCTGTTTCAAGTGAAAATGTAGTTGTTAGTAATGGTGGTGATCCTACGGCAACAACAGTACCCACAACTGCACCTACACCCAATTTACAGTTTCGGGACCGTGATGTGGTATTGAAAGACGTGGAGGATTCCTTTGTTGCTTGTTACTATCATATGTATCCAGAGGCCTTGACGCGGCATAAAGAAGCCGAGGAGGAAGCCGAGCGGCGTAGGCGTTCAACCATTGCCGCCTCACAGCTGGTATCATTAGCGGGTGAAACTGGACGCTCAAGAACTGCCAGTCCATTGGGGAAAAAAAGTAAAGGAAAGAAGAAAAAGAAAGAAGAGCCGTTACCACGAGAGGGAGCACCTGCGGCAAATCTTGGTGTTCTCTTATCGGCATTGATAGCGGCAGGTGATAGTAAAGGACTGATCACACAAGATGCTCTTGCGGATGTACTCGCAAAGGCACCGTTTGAAGTACGAGACTCACAAGCATTAGAGGCGTTTTTCTTCGCTGTGCGTTCATCCTCTACGGCAAAAGGTACTACTGAAAGTGAATCAGAACGTCGTTTGAATAATTCCTCCAGTACCACCACCTCCAATACACGAGGATTAAAGCGAAATCCATCCATGCGGGTATCTAATGCACAAGTTCACTCCTCTACAGCTGCATTATCCCCATCAAGCCCCATCGCCAGTGTAGCCAACCTGCAAGCGAGTCTACGGCGTGGGCCACCAACAACAGGTGGAAGTTTCTATATTCGCCGTACTGGTTTCACACCACGGACCTCACGTGTCTTTACATCATCCGTTATTATGACAGCAGCGGCCAGTAGTGCTGGAGGTGGAGGAGGAGGTGCAGGAGGTGCTGCAGCTGCTGGTGGTGGTGGTGGTGGTGGTAGTAGTGCAGCTGAAGTTTTTCCTGCTCCAGTGGTTCGTGTACGAGAGGTGTTAGCAGCGGTGGATGCAATAATGAATGGTCCTGAACTGCGGGATGTGGTGCGATCCATTTGTTTTAATGTATTGGAAACAGATGGGTATATACATAAAGCCACACTTCAATCTATGCGTTTAACTCGTCGGGAGGCATGTGAGGATAAAGATGCGTTGGTGACGCCTTCTATCGTAAAAGCGTTGGGTGACGCTATTGAAGTGATGCTACAGGAAGAGGAACAGGAATATATACGTACACAATTAAAAGATAAGCGCCGTAAAAATAAAGGTAAAGCACCTACACTTCTTCCACATCAAAAGTCAGTTATCCCATTACATATGATGAGACGATCACATATGAATCGAAAGGAATTCTTTCGATTTTTTGATGAATTACCACTTTTTGCGGCTTCTTTTATGCATGTATGGTTTCCTGCCTTCTTTTCTACTACCTGGCCGCCGGTAAAGCAGGTGACAGTGTATGATACAAACACCGATGATGCAATAGAGGAGGAATATGATGAAAACGAGATTAGTAATAATACCAACAATAATATCAGTAACACAACAAGCACTAGTAATGCTTTTCTGCATCCTTCCTTTGGAGAAACAAGATCACAACGCGAAGTGTTTGAATGGGATAAAGTTGCGACTGGATCTTTGGCGATATTACTTCGTAGTTCAGTACAACGTCGTAATTTGGCACGAAAGATAGTCACAGAGCGTTTAGATCACATGAAACTATCAGCACCAGAAGATAGTGATGCCACTGTATGAGAGTTTCTTTGAGTGTTTGTTTGTTTGTTTGTGTGTATGTGATTTATTTTTGGTTTTTCACTCACGTTGTTGTCACTCTTTTTTTTTTATTTGTGTGTGTGTGTGTTGTGGTTGTTATTGTTGTTATTGGATTATATGATATATAATATGATATGATATGATGTAATTTTTTTTTTTCTGTGCTGTTGCATTACGTTTTCTCTAGACGCGATAGAAATGCGCGTACATGCTACCAACTATTATTGGTATTTTCTTTATTATCAAAAAACTGGAAATGATTTCACTAGGAGATCTCTCCTTATTTGGAAACCAAATCCCCCCAATCCCTTTCATGTCAAATCACAGCGTACAGAAATGATAGAGTTTATTGCATCTAAGGATCATTATTTATACATTTGTGTACCCCCTCTCTATAAAGGAAACACCATGGAGTGGGAAAAGAGACCCTTTACTCTGGTAGGGTACATCTATAATTTTCTCCATTCATGTATATCTTTTTTTTTTTATCTTTTTGCGCAAGGTTTTGTTTTGTTTTGTTTTGTTTCTTTTTCTTTCTGGCTCTTCACTAAAATGATATTCTTATCTGAAAAAATTACATAACTATATGGAATTGTAAAATTTTCTCTTTTCTTTCTTTCTCTCTTTCTTTCTTTCTTTCTTTCTTTCTTGTGAATGTATGTAAAAATCATTCCATTAAAAACACATACACACCCATATATATATATATATGTGCACATATACGTTAAATCACAGACACTTTAGTTATTCACATCTCCACAGGTAATGAACTTTGCTGCGAGTGGCTCCTCCTCTCCAGTGGCGGGTGATGTTGCTGGTGCGGATAAGGCTCTATCGGAGCTTACAGCGCTTCTCCCAGAGCGATGGGAAGAGCGAGGTGGGGCTGTGACGCGGGCTATGAGTGGACTATTACAGAATCCCTTCTTTAGTGCGGGTGCGGGTTTGTATCTATTAACATTTGCGGGAGCCGCAGCCCGTTCTTTTTCAGTGGCTGTGCAAACCGCCCTACGACGTCGTTTTGTGGTATCCATGGAACTCACCAGTCAAGATGAGAGTTTTAATTGGATGGTGCGATGGCTTGCACAGAATCCTGCCTTTTATGTACAGCAGGTAAGTGTTACCACTCGAAATACCACCATTTACTCAAATGATGAATCCTCACATGAGTGTTTATATGCACCTTGTACAAATGTTCGTCATTGGTTTTGGTATAATAATCGTCCCATGCTTCTTCAACGTCGTCGTGTGGAAACGCAGGCGATGGGAACAGATGTATTAGAGACGATGCAGTTTACCACCATTGGTCTCTCTGCACGAGTAATGCAGGAAATGGTGGAGGATGCCCATCGCTTGACTTCTCTGCGGAACAGTGATCATACCGTTATTTATCAAAACAGCGGTGGACGATGGACGCGACAAGATCCACGTCGTCGTCGTCCCATGCATTCCGTGGTATTAGATGGACACACCGCCACGGAGTTATTAAAAGATGTGCGGCTCTTCTTAAGTAGTGGACGATATTATGAAGATCTTGGCGTTCCGTATCGTCGGGGGTATTTACTGCATGGACCACCGGGATGTGGAAAGAGTAGTGCGGTGATGGCACTTGCAGGGGAATTACGACTCGCCATTTGTCCATTAAGTCTTTCCGGTCGTGGACTTTCAGATGATGCCCTCATCGCCTTATTAAATACCGCCCCTCTGCGGTCTATTGTGTTGTTAGAAGATATTGACCGGGCCTTTAGTGCGGATAGTCATATCACGATGAGTGGATTATTAAATGCCCTGGACGGTGTCGCTGCGCAGGAGGGACGATTGGTGTTTATGACAACAAATCACGTGGAACGGTTGGATGATGCTCTCATTCGACCTGGACGGTGTGATGTGAAAGTAGAGATTGGACTTCTCTCTCCCAGTCAGGCAAGGCAATTATACCGTAAATTCTTTCCACACTCCACAGAGGCCCAACAGGATCAATTTGCCTCTCAAATCCCAGCACGGACGTTAAGTGTGGCCCAAATTCAATCCCATCTCTTTTTACATCGTGATAGTGCAGAGGCGGCCATCACAGCACTTCCAGCATTTCTGCAAACAGTGAAATCGTTTGAAGTGCGTGTGCAGCGAGCACGAGAAAAGGAAGAGGCGATGACACGTATGAGAAGAGCACCCATGCTACACAACCTCTAAATTACGTTTTTTTTTTTTTTTTTTTTTTTTTTTTTTTTTTATATATATATATATATATATATATATATATATATATATATATATATATATATATATATATATACATCTGTGTGTGTGTGTCTGTGTGGTTCCTCTCCTTTACTGTACTCATCATCCCTCTTGTAAATGGTGCGAGTTTGCATATGGATAAGATGCATTAAAAGAGAAACATCCGGGTAAGAAAGAAAGAGAGAGAAAGGGGGAAAGAAAGAGAAAAGGAAAGGGGTTGGTGCTGTATGTGTATGTGTGGGGAGTAAAGAGGGGAGTAACAATGAACATCTCTCTGAAGTAGAAGGGGAGAAAAAGAAAAAAAAAAGAAAGAAACATGAACATAATTGGAAGAGAAGACATATGCGCTTGAAGGAGTTGTTTTTTTATTTCTTTTTTCGTTTTTTTTT